AGTAAGGTACATTTTAATTCAACGACCAACATTAATTTTTTTTTATGTAATTTTAGGAAAATCTTATCATTGATTATCACAAAAGCCATTCTTTTTTTTTTTTGGAAAATACATACATATATTCTAGGAAGTATTGTGAATGACCAGGAAATGCCAATAAATAAGAGTATTATTGTCTTGTTATAGATAGAGATTCTATTTAAAAAAATCTAATGGTTGAGAATGACTGTTTTTTTTTTTTTTAAATCCACTGGTCAAGAAACAAGTGTTATTTCAATGTCAATAAATGAGAGTACTTATGTCATTATATAAGGATGGAGAATAGATTTCAAGTAGAGGAGTAAAAATTCTACTTAAAGTAGAATTAGTAGTACACCATATCGTCTCATTTAATTTAGCCCATACTTCAAACAAAACTCTTTAAAGAAACTTTCATAATAATCTTGGATAAAAATAATTTTATCTCGGAGAATAATTGATGCAAAATTTAAAATTAATTAGCGTAATTAAAAATTCATACAATTTTATTTAAATGCATAAAAAAAAAATTAATTTTATAAAAAAATTTTATACTTAATCTACTATAAAAAATGATAAGAACTAAAATTATTAAATAAAAAATAAAATAAAATAACGTCACAAAATTGTACATTGATAAATAAATCTACTTCTTAGTCAACATAATAGTAGAAGAACATTTCTTAAAAAGAAATATTTTTAATATTATTGAAATAATTTTTAAATGCTTATGATGAAAATTTAATTATTTATTTATAGGATACGTCATATGAATAAAATAATAATAAAAATATCTTAATTTAAAATTATAATTATATAAAAAATTAATTTAAATTTAAATTTAAATTTTTAATTACTTATAATTACATTAAAAAATTAATTAAAATTAAAATTTAAAAAGATAGATACAGTATTTTCCTAACTAATTGTTTCTTTTTCTTATCCCTTTTCATCATGTATTTGAAATAAGCTGATGAGACCATTATACCCTTGAATCAATTGATTGGGTTTGTTTGTCATCATATGAACTATTATATTATATTCAATTAAGGACTATTTATAATTAATTATTGAAAAAATTTATATAACAATAAATAAATATTTGTTACAAATGATTTGAATAATTTAGAAACGTTCATATTAAGTAAATTTATTTATAAAATATTTTTATTATTTAATTATAGTTTTATTTATTTTTCCAATATAAATACAAACTTTATTTTGATCAATAACTATTTAATTTTTAAACAAAAATTACTTAAACAAACAATTAAGGAACTTTCAATATTAAACTAATGTTATATTTTATTTTTGGAGTATTAATTTAGTAAAACACAAATCTAATAAATGTGGTAACTAAAAGATATTATTACCGTTTAGATTTCTGATTTATGAAAGTCAAAAACTTCTACTTCTAACTAAAAAAACGTCAAATTTATAAGTTTCGCTAATTTTTTAAAATTGTTCTTTTACAACTGAAGCACACAAGCACTTACCAACTCAGATAAATGACATAATACTTTCAGTTTGATCAACTTAATCGAGAAGCTCGCCAGGAAAACATAAACATGTCTGAGTTGTTTTCCAGCGCATCCAAAAATCACAAGCACATCGAAGCTTCACTGAAGGAAACCAATGTACAAACAATGCCCCAGTCTAAATGCTCACATCTTCAGCTTCAGCAGGTGGGGAAAAACACAAACTGATTAACAAAACACATATTACATGGCCACATGGCTGAAAGCTTCAAGCCTCTCTGCTTAAAAATAATGGGGCCATTTTAAATTACAACCTCAAGGGGCCAATCATCTTCTCATATGCCCATGGGGCAGCATTCCAATCTATCGCTTCACTCCATCTCCTATAAACTCACTCCTTTGGACACAGCTGATGGTGACATCTCCTTCATGGAGAACCAGCACTCATCATCATCATCATCATCATCACCATCATATATAAGTATGCAAAAACCAATACCCTCAGTCAATCTTTAAAGCTTCCACCTCCAATTTAGTATAATTGGTTTTCACCCACTTGAGTCTGATAACAAATTCAGGACGTCACTATCAATGAAATTTGTCTCAACTGCAAGCTCGAGAGGGGTTTTACCATCCCCATTTAAAGCCTGCCGATCAGCTCCCCTGCAAAATTACAAGGAAATATGGTTGATAAATGGAAATCATGAAAAGGAGAAGAAAGAGAAGTGTTCAAATGAAAAGAGAGAACGTAACTAATAAACAGCTACAAGAAATATAGCAAAATGAAGAGACGACTGCAAGGTCACCTTGTTAGAAGCAGTTTTGCACATGCTGCCTTGCCTCTGCAAGTACAGCGGTGGAGTGGCGTCTGACCACTTGCATCAGTCGCATTTATATTTGCTCCATACTGTAATAGAAGTTCCAACATGCCAATGTCTGCAGTTTCACAAGCAAGGTGCAGTAAGGTACAGCCATCTAAATCCTCCATGCTTTGGCCTTCATTTGTGCCTGCTAAGTTTGAAGAACTACTGGAAGACCTATCAATTGAATCGCCCCTTAAGCAGCTAGAACCACGGTCATGGTTTGAGTGCTCTTGCAGTAGCATCACTTTGGCAAGGGTCAACGATGGGCCACAAGACG